ACAGTTTTAAGTCTTAAATGACCAGAATACCAGGAGGTAGTTTATTATTTTATGCAGTTCATACTTAAATAAGAACAATAAAATAGATACACAAACTAGATTATGTTATAAAACCGAGTTTTAAAATATGAATGAAAGAATATCAAACAAAACCTGACTAAAAGCAATAACATTGTTGTTATTTAAGACATCCCCATGTTGCTTCCTGATTTGTGTTCTCACTTGCAATATTCTTCTCTTTTATTCAAGCACGGTCACCTGTGTGACCTACTCTTAACCATCTTTTTACCTCAGGAGGGGGGTCCATTCCTTCAGAGGTAGACCAGTGAGAAGATAATCGTGTGTTTGAGAAAGTAGAAACAGGCGACTTCCCTTCTCTGAACATACTACATTCATCTCTGAGAAAGCCCTTTCCGCTTCTGCCGGACTGACATCAATTGTTCGAATGATGTTTTTAGCTCTTTAAACACTTTCAGAAATTGCATAATTCCCTCATCATATCTCCTGGGAATTAGGGGGCATACCACAAAGCATGTCATCCTCTGATTCTTTGGCACTTTTATGTTATATGCTTATTTACATGGGACTAAAAATGTCATATTTCATCAAAAGTACTAAAAGTTTGATGAAATAAATAAATAAATAGCGCAAGTATAGTTCTGTCTGATTTTTGTATAGCTATGGACCGAATGAACATCACTACCAATGCTTAGAATGTGCTGTTGCATGGATGAATGTTAAAAAGTAGTAAGGAGTGTAAATTTATGATTTAGACAGTGAGCAGTTGCCCTTTGCCCACCTCAGAGAGAACGTTGATTACCACTTGCGTTTTAACAACCCATTTGCCGGGCTCAACGAAAATTTCACGCCAAACCTGTGTGAACTGACTGGATTCCTCCACTGGCTGCAAGTCTTGCTCCCCAGCATGTCCATGCATTCGTCTCCACACCAACAAAAGAGGCATGTTTAGTATTAACTTATGTTCTAAAAATTGTGGTGATCAGAATGACAGCATCTTCACCAATTTAACAATTTCCACATGTCCCCTTCAGTGACTGATGACACTTTTTTTTTTATTCTTATGGGGAATTTGGCAGGGTTTCCTGACATCATCAGTTTGACAGCCAGCAGTGGATACACATTACCATTTCATGTATGCCGCCATCAGTTGCCACAGTTAATTCTGACTTGTGGCAACCCCGTGTGTGCCAGCCCTGGACTGTGCTACACAGGCTTTTCCTGTTAATTAGGACGTCTTCTTATAAACACCAATATATTCACCAGCACAATAATATCGACATTTACAATTCAATGATTCTGAGAACATTTTTCATGTCATGCCATCATTATCTCTACCCTTTTGCAAAATATCCCCCAGCATCTAGATGAATTCAGTGTCCCTCCAGTGAGCCCCCAGGCCTCGTGCTTTGGAGACTCGGTTTATGAGCCGGGCTGCTAACGTGAAAGTCAGTGTTTGCAGTCACCGACCACTCTATGGAAAATGCGCGTGTCTCTTCCCATCACGGTTTGCAGATTTGGGGACCCACGGGGGCAGTTCTACTTTGTCTGTAGGGTTCTGGTGAGTCGGAGTAAATTCAATGATAGTGGGGTTTTTCCTTTTCCTACTTTATTTCTTTTTCTTTTTTGGATATATATATGTGTGTGTGTGTGTGTATATGTATATATATATACATGTATATATGTGTGTGTGTATGTATGTATATATATATATATATACACACATTGGTCTCTATAAATTTGCTTATTTCATAACTGAGTGTAGACTATTACCCGTCCTTGAGCCTCCATAGACTGTAAAAGAAATGACTGTTTGGAAGGGCATGCCCACATCTTCCATCTTTGGTTACTTGGTGAGAAGTTTCATGTACATCACAGAGGGACTCTAACCCAGTAGCAAAATGGACCAATGTGCTGTACACAGGAGAGCAGGGCCTCTCAAGGTGTCTGATGCCTCACCGTGTCCATCAGACTGCTCCCTCATTCCCAATCGTTTTGCTTCACCAGGTTTGAAGTAGGACCCACGAATGTGCATTTCTAATGGGTTCCCCAGTGTGTTAGCTATCTAGTGTTGCAAGGACTGAAGTAGCACAAGTGGGTGACTTTCATAAGCAGAACTTGTCCAACATTGTGGGTGGGTAGAGATGTGAACTCACCGTTCCATTTCAAGGGCAAGGTTTTATAAGCTCAGTAAATGTCCTTGACCCCTTTTAACAATGTGGTTCAGGCTTTCTTTGATCCTAAAAGAGTGTATTTAATAATAATCTAATTCTGTTACAATACACGGCACTAGATTAATATAACTGACATCAATTCCCCCCCTCAGTCACATTATAGAGGGCAGGATGTATACCACAGATTAATAGCATGAAAACACAAAATGAGGAATAATTACATAATATGAGAACCATGCTTTGGTCAAATTGACATACACATCGGAGGAACATAATTGAATCCCTAAAGCAATTCAAATTATTACACCAAGTAAGGACGAACATTTCAAAGCCTCTCCCTGAAGAGGGAAGAATGCTTGTTATGCAGAGTTTTGGAAAGCATTTTCCCATAATGCATGTGCATGACAGTGAGGCCCATGGCCTCATTGTCTCCGTATCTGTGGGTAGAGTTCAAACTTTTTCTTCCCAAGAGAGTGGTTGTGAGGGAAGGCATCCTATGAACCTCGGAAAAGGAGTTCATCTACTAGCATTCTGTGTTCCGGGACTGAGAGTTCTCCGCCTCTCTCAATAGCAGTTCAAAGATGTCATTGTGCATGTAGAAGAAGATGTA